TCTCTCTCTCTCTCTCTCTCTCTCTCTCTCTCTCTCTCTCTCTCTCTCTCTCACACACACACACACACACACACACACACACATGGTTCAAAATTTCAACTCTGCAACAATTTCATATCTTGACTCACTCATGGTCTATCTATACTCTCTCTCTACATGGAACCAACCTCACCTAAGTTTACCTGCTGCTTGCACTTGTTCCTCTGATGCTTCTCAATCAAAGACGTTCTCTCTACAGGAGTGAGCGGCTCTCCAAGTATCTTCTCTCTACTCTTCCTCGCCTTCTTCTCCAACTCAGCCTGAGCCTTAGCCATGGCGTCCAAGCACCCAGGCTCCACGGACTTCACAGTGGGCTTGATCGCCGGTGCACAAGTCCCCGTCCATTCTCTGTCTAACCTTGCCGGTCCAAATGGCGAGTACTTTGGCTCTCTTAGCCCTATTGCCTTCACCAATGAGTTGCTCTCTGTATAGCTAAACTTGATATCAAAAGGAAGATCAGAGCGAACAGGTTTAAGGCCCGTTCGATCCAGAGACGAGGGTGGTTTATACAAAGGTTTGGGTTTAGGGTTTCTGAAGACGGAGTTCTGGTTTTTAGGGTTTAGAGAGGGGGGAGGCTCGAAGGAATAGTCTTTGAGCTTTGAGAAATGGCGAGTTCTGAAGATAGAGGAGAGCTTTGGGATTGATGGCCTGAAGAACATTTGGGTTTCTTGGTATGGTTTGTAAGCTGCAGAGAAGGGAAATCAGGTTTCCGGGTTAGGGTTTCTGGAGAATTAGGGTCTAAAGGAAAAGAGCCATGAAGCTTTGAGAAATGGCAAAAGTTGCAGACATTTAGGGTTTATGCGAAATTTCGGCTTCTCAATTGGCTGCAAACTTGCACGACTTTAAAGGTACACATAATGGCAATCACGGTCGGTTAAGAAAACAGAGGGTCAACATGAATCATCATATAATTAAGGGAATAAAAAAGTAGTGATACATATGGACAATCATCGTCCGTTCAGAAAACAGAGGGTCAAGATGAAGCATCGTATGTAATTAAGAAAACAGAGGTATGATGCAATTAAGAAAATAAAAAATACTGTAATTTTCAATGTAGTTATACATATGGACAATCATCTTCCTTTCAGAAAACAGAGGGTCAAGATGAAGCATCATACGTAATTAAGAAAACAGAGGTATGATTCAATTAAGAAAGTAAGAAATCTGAGCAGAGGGTCAAGATGAAGCATCATATGTATTTAAGAAAACATAGGTATGATGCAATTAAGAAAATACAAGATGAAGCATCATATGTAATTAAGAAAACATAGGTATGATGCAATTAAGAAAATAAAAAATCTTAACGGAGGGTCAAGATGAAGCATCATATATAATTAAGAAAACAGAGGTACGATGCAATTAAAAACCGAGGTATGATCAATTAAGAAACGGGTGCGGTTTCTATTAGGTTGCAACCTTAAACAACCCAATTAAGGTGCATCTCTAAATATTTTTGGTGTAAAACATTTTTAGGATTATCTGAAAATCTATTTTCATCTCTAATTATAAAATTTAAGCTTCAAAAATAATTAAAGTCAAGTAGATCTATAAACATATGAAAATCTTGAAATAAAACTATCTAGATAATGTGTTGTAAGATACACTATTTTTGAGACTCATAAAATCTTTGTTTTTCATATTCATACATCTCGATGTCGAGATGATCAATTAGAAAGGTTTTTCAACATTAAAACAACCTTTTTCCAATAGATTTTTGAGATGCATATGTAATTCTACATTTTAAGGTTGCAACCTTAAATAAAGGAGGTTCAAGAAGGGTTTGAACCTCCGACCTTGTGGTTAACCTCTAGCCAACCGAGCTATTTCTTGTATGTGCTATAATTTGAATAATAAAAATAAGTATTGTATAATATAAGACCATTGATTTTTGGTACTAGGAACTTACAATCATTTTTAGCTATTGGATGTGAAATCTAATACATAAAAGTGTCACAACATTCAAGAAATTTTATTTTAGATTTTTTGTCTAAACAATGATACATTTTCAACTACCCGATTTCAAATCTAACGGCCAATGATTGTGATTTCCTTATATTAAAGGTAAATCATCTCATTGTATACATGTTCATAAAAATAAACTATTTTTTAATATTATTTTTATAATAAATAAGCTATTTATTTAAGAGAAATTTATCTAAACACCCGCAAGGGAAGACTTATTTTAGCAATTTACATTTTAGAACGGTTTCAATATGCATTATTTGACAGGTATTTGGAAATTAAATAGAAAGATATGGGTAAATCTTTAATAGGTAATTTGATCAATTTTTTCTTTTTTAAATTAAATTTTTTAAATTATAAAAGCAATTATAAAGTAAAAACTAATAAAATCTCATATATCATATTTAAACAAAAAAAACAAGAAGAAACTTTAAGGAGATTTCCTAATTGAGAGAGAGAGAGAGAGAGAGTATACAACTCTCTTTGATCTACTTGGCTAAGGATTCCCAATCGTGTTCTTAGGGGATAAGATGTGAGTCCTTTTTTTTGTTCTGATGGCTTGGATTAAATTAATTGATTTGTAAGGTTATCAATGCACCATATTTGAAAATTCGATGGCTTATTAATATAAATATCTCTTATTTTTATGGCATTAAAAAGTTATTTTTTATTTTACATATTTTATACCTTTTCTTAAAACAAACCCAGTTCAAAATTCCAAAGTGTTTTTTTTATAGGTGATATATTGGTTTAGAACTTGATGTTTTGAACCACCTTTTTTGAAAAGTAAGATTTTCATAACATTTTATTCCCAACCACTTCACTCAAAAAAAAAAAAATCATTTTTTGGTTTAGAACTTGGGTTATGAACTAAAGACACGTGTATTTTATAAGCAAGTAAAATATTCAGAACTTCAAATTCTGAATCAATCTCTAACTAAAAAATAACTAATAAATATTAAAATGACCAAAACCACATTGAGTATATTTCATGTGTATTTTGGTGAATTTAATTTTTTTTAATAAATACTCTTAGTGTGTGAAGGTTGGATGTACAAGTACCCCGAGTTTCCAGTAAATTTGATTTGTAGAAGGATATTAAAATACAACCATGCTCATGTCATGAGATTATGACAACGATAAGCCACGAGCAAAGTAGTAGAGAAATTTGCTCATCGGCATTTTTAAATGTTTTCCACACATACTGGCCTATCGTACATAGATACTAACGGGTGTATACATAACACTGAAAAGAGTATCAGAAATTTGAACCTTGAGAAATGATATCTAGATACGACACGTCTATACAATATACAAATATCTAATTATATGTGTATGTCTATATATACATATATTAAAAGGAAAAAGTTTATATAGAGTCGAGGCTCTAAACAATCAAATTAGAGCCTACATTAAAAATTTCACTAGAAGAGGTTGTTTTGATGCCCAAATATCTTCAAATTAATCATCGCGACATCAAGATGCATAGACATGAGGAAAAAATTGATTTCAAGTTTTGGAAATAGTATATTTTTTAACGCATTTGTGACCGTCAATTTTCAAGTTTTTATAGTTTTCATAGATATGTCAATCTACACTATTTTTTAAGCTTTAAACTTTGTAAATAAAGATAAAAATATATTCTAAGGCTGTCATAAAGATTTCCAATATTGGAACCACATTTCTTGTTACTATTTGAAGGTATGCTCTAATTTGATTGTTTAGAGCTTAGGCTCTATACAGACCGCACCCATATTAAAATCCATTAGTTACAATAATACTAAAGCATAAAAAATAAAAAATAATTAAATTAATAGTCCAAAAAAGTTACTAAATTTTATTCATCAAAAATTATTATAGACCATTCAACGTGGCATGGTCACAATATAGAAAAAAAACTACAAAGTATTAGCTAATTATTAATTCAAAATGTGTCACCCTTATTTTGGGGTAGATACTCTGAAATGTATTGCATTAATGAAAAAATGTTTGAGACTCCATATTAAACGGATAACTAGAGGGAAATATGAAAATATAATCCGGACCAAATTTGGCCATATGCCTCTCTCATTATAAAAACAAAGGGTTTTACACACACACACATACACATACACATACACGGACGCATGCATGCAT